CCTCCAGCTTGACTAAGTTTAAAACCTTAAAGGCAACCCGGCAATCATGGTTCTTGAGATTTACCCAAAGGAGCTGAAAACTTATGTCTACAGAAAACCTGAACGGTGGTGTACCATGCAGCTATATTCGTAATTTCTCAGATCTGAAAACAACCAAGATGTCCTTTGGTAAATGAATAGATAAACTGTACATCCGACAATGGAATATTCCTTAGTGCTAAAAAGAAATGAGCTGTCAAGCCATGAAAAGACATGGAGGAAATTTCAATGCATATTACTAAGTGAAAGAAGCCAATTTGAAAAACTCCGCACTATATACCAACTATAGAAAGTAAAGGCAAAACTGTGAAGACAAACAAAAAAATAAAATCAGTAGTTGCCAGAGATTAGTACGGGTGCATAGAAGGAACAGAGGATTTTTAGAGCAATAAAACTACTTTGCAAGATAATGTTACTTTATCATTATACATTATACAATTATACCTGTGTCCAAAACTATAAAATACAAAGCACCAACAGTGAACTCAGTTGTAAACTGTTTTTGTTCTTTGAGTGAGAACAATATGTTAGCCGATGTAAGTTCAACAATTGTAAAAAGCATTCCACTCCAGGGTTGGGGATTTAGCTCAGTGGTTCCACCATCTGCCTTGCAAGCGCAAAGTCCTCAATTTGATCTCCAGTACCAAAAGAAAAGAAAACCACTCCAGTGGGAGGTGCTGGTGACAGGCAAGGTTCTGCATGTTTAAGGACACAGAGTATATGGAAAATCTCTACAGCTTCCTCTGACTTTCCTGTGAACCTAAAACTACTCTTAAAATATAAAGTCTACTTTGAAAAAACAACCACCTTAAATTATTGCTAAGTATTCTAGTCCTTAAGCATTCTGTAGCAGAAAGTCTCTAGATACAGGCACATTTAATGCCTTCCTTCCCAGTACATTCACGCTTTTTGTTTCATACAGAGGTAGAGTTCTTTTCTCCTTCCCTCAGTTTCAGAGTGGCCTATGACTATGTAAAACCAATTCAACCTGGCAGAGACGAAACAGGGCCAGTTCTGAGCCTAGCTACTGAAAGGCTTGGAAGCTTCTTTATTAGTCTCTGCAGAGAAACCAGCCACTAGGTAAGAAACCTGACTGCCCAAGACTACCACGCCATGCTGTGAGGAAGCCCAGCTGTGGGGAGGCCGTGTAGAGAAGAACTGAGGAACCCAGGGGACAGTGAAAACCATGGCCCCCAAGAGATGACTCCAGTTGAATTACCTCAGCCGGCTCTCAGCAATTTAGGTCATCCCAGCTGAGGTCCTAGACACTCAACACATCAGCCATTTTGCTGTGACCTACTGGAATTCATGACCTAGAAAGTTGATAATTATAATAAAAAAACATGTTGCTTTGTGTCACTACACTAAAGAATAGATAATTAAAACGCTTTGTTTGAGGAGGGTTGCTTGGTGTTTAAGACCACAAATTCTAGAGCCAGACCATTTCAGATCCCAGCATGGCTACGTAGCAACTCTAAGACCTTGGATAAACTATAATCATGGTGATTTGCTACATTGGTGGCCTCCAGTGAGCCATACCTCCTTGGATTCACACCCGTGTGTAAGCCCTTCCATGCTAACTCGCCTTGACACAAATAAATATGAGGCAATTAGAGCCTTGATAATCAGTAGCACAATGGGACTTTTCCTCCTGGAAGGCTTCTTCTGGGAACCCTAAATATATAGGTTCCACCATATAAAGAAGTCTGTCTGCCTTGCTGAAATCTGGTAGAAAGAGAGATTCCCAGTTAGCCCCAGCCATCCCAGCCATTCCAGCCATCCAAGCTCAAGTGCCAGACCTGTGACCAAGAAGAATAGAACTACCCTGCTGAGCCCAACCCAGAACACACGTCAAAGAGATAATAGATCATTGTTGTTTAAAGCCACTAAGTTTAGGTATGGTTTGCTATGAAGCAATAAATAACTGAAATATAAATAATACCCTTGAAATTACAATGTGATAAAATATTTTTCTTAACACACACTGAAATCTTCATAAAGTCAACCAATGCACCACCTAAAATTATCTTATAGACCATGAAATAACACACTTATCAGCATTTGAGAACTACCAGCTTAACAGGACAACATTAACAATGATTATAAACATAATAGCATCAGTAATTGAATATGTACTCTTTTCAGAACTCTGGGCTAAAAATGCTTTATATGCATGACCTAATTTAATCCTCACAACAGCCTTAATAGATAGGTACTACTATTATTCCCATTTTGTAAGTGAGGTACATGAAACCCAGAAAGGTTAAGTAATTTGGCAAAGGTAACCTTTGGCCAATAAAAAAATTATTACAGAATAGAAACTTCCCATGACCTAGAAGCAAGTGAATTATAGCTACACACACACACACACACACACACACACACATATTTTTTTAGTTTTAATTTGTGGACATCTTTACTTTGATTTAGGGTTTATTTACTTCAAAGTCAGGGCCTCTAGTTCTCCTGGGGGCTGTCAGGACCAGTACATTGTCCTCATCAGAGCCATATGACTCTAATAACCAACTGAAGTTAGTGGACACTTATGTGCTCAGCTTTGCGCCGAGTGCTGGAGTGGGAATGGAACATGGAGAGATTTAGAATAACTGTAAGATGAGTCAAACCCTGAAGGAATTTGTTTGTTAAGGAGACCAGACTAGTTCCCACGCACATATCAAAATAGTCACTAGATAAGGTAAATCCATTTAAAATTATGTCACAAATTACACAAGACAGATATGCTGTAGAAGTTGAGAGGAAAGGAAGAAACCAGGGGGTGAGGTTAAATGGAAAAGACAATTCTTACATGCTTCAGAAGCATGGCTTTGCAGAACTGGAGCTGAGAGGAGAAAACATTCTAGGTAAAGAAAATTCTCTAGCCTGGGAAAAGACAGGACAGTGTGAGTAATCATGGAACAGAGAAACAGGTTGGAGGTGGAGAATAAGTTTGAACCAAAAGTACGGAACAGACTGTATTGTCTCCAGCACAGTAACATAGTTAAATACTCAGTGAATAAACATTTGTCAGGTATGGAATGGAGGATTTCTTCCATGGAGTATTTGCAGGTAGGTTAGATTGGAGAGAAAAAGACTATGAGAAAATATCCTCAAAGGACTATACAAGGGATGGAATCCCAGGCACACCTAAGACCTCTCTGGAGGGGTCCTGGGAGTGCCTCAAAGCCCTGGAAGATTAAAGGCCTTGATGAAACCAGACCCTACTAGCCTGGGACAGCGCTTCCTGCTGTGTCCCTGCAGCTGAGACTTGGGAGCTCACCCCATCTACTGAGAGACAACAGAAGCTCCGGGGAGACTCCCTTTGCCTCGGATAGAGCCCCGCAATCATTCTCTCCCTTCAGAAACTGCACTTGCCTCCAGCAATAACTATCTTTTCTCACCCCCAACTCCCCCTCTCCTCCAGGGCAGGACTAGCAACCACTCTCCCGGAATTCTTTTTAGAAGAGGGAAGGAGGTCCCTCAGGTACTTTCAGGGGACCAAACACTCACTGTGCTCTGGAGGTCTCTAAAGTCTCCATCAGTCTACGGGTCCGCGAATCTTCTTCAAAGTCTTTTCACCCATGGAAGCCACATGCCTGCCACACCCAAAACTCCTCCCAGAGACCCTGGAGGTGCACAGCATCTGCAAATCCAAACAGGCTTCCCGACTTCCTCACTGTCTGAACGCTCTCCGGCACTGGCCCCAATTCTCCTTCTCTTTGTTCTTCTGGGAACTGAGCTTTGGTTCGAGGTTACCTCAAAGGTAAAACAATCTGAAGTATGATAAGCGTCTGTGGCCACTGGTGGAATAAGGAGGGGCCTATCAGGCCTGGGCTCCAATTAAATAGAGCCGGGCTTTCCTCGTGTGTTAGCCTAACCACAGCCTCATTTTCTGTGAAAAGAAAGCAGCTGAAACTCCAGCACAAGACTCACACCTGGGAAACCTTCTAGGAGAATTATATAAATAAGCAAAAGAAGTCCTTCTTAGGGATGTGCAGAACTAGAAAAGGCAATTTTATAAGCATATACATTTCCAGCAGCACCTGGGCAAAAACAGCTCAATTTGAAATATTCATTTGCATCAGAATAGTCATGAATATTCAAAGGTCTGCCAGTGTTTCAGAACCATTGTCTATTCCTGGCGCTTTCATCTTCCCCTTGAAAAGCAGATCATGGGTTTCCAAGAAAGGTAGGCTAAGCTAGTCTTTACACTGCCATGGTTGGCAGGAAAGAGAATGATTATTTTCTGTTGCTTAATATTTTTTAAAAAGCCTCAGCTGGTGTAAAATCTTTTGCTGTTGTTGTGGTCAGGATAAGGATCATGCTATAACTTCCAGTCTGGCCGATGGATGCATTTTTCAAACTGCTAGGCAAAGCTTTCCGCTGAGAATCTTGGACATATTTTCTGACACACAGGTTTCCTAAAGAGACACCCCCACCAGGGTTGTTACACCAACCCCTAAAGGGATCAGGCCTAAGATTTGGGACACTCTTGACCAGTGCCCACTCTCTGGGTTACTTTGGCCAAGCCACCCACCTTTTGCACCTTCATATTTCATAAATATTTAAATATTTTGTACCTTCATTGGTTAGATAGGCTCATAGGCATCCACTCTTTCCCTCTTCTTTTGTCTCAATTTTATAAAGCTGCTGCATAAGTGAAAGTACTTTGCACCCTGAAGAAAAGTCAAGAGCTATGGCCAAGTCTGACTATATACGGACGCTTTTGTTGCCAGAAAGCAACACAATCTTAAGATTCATAAGGGATTATCCTAAACAGGTTTTTGGGGTTTGTTTTGGTTTTGGTTTTTGGTTTTTATTTTGGTACCAAGGATTGAACTCAGGTCTTTGCGCTTGCAAGGCAGGCCACCAAAACACTGAGCTAAATCCCCGGCCCCTAAACAGTTTTAATGTGATGAAAAATATTATATTTTAAAAATAACCAAAAAGGAGACTCACCACCAGTCTGCCATTTGCTGAGATGATTAGCAGCCATTTCTATCTTCCTTTGCTAAAATATTATTTCCCCAACATTTCTTCCTTATACTCCAAACCGCTTAACTGTTCAATAATATGTTTAAGCTGTAGCATGAGAGATGCAGGAAGGTTGGATTGGTATAGAATTAACCAGGGATCCATCCCTTGGATCCCACCACATTCCAGTTGAAGCTCAGTCTACTGTCACCTAAACTCCGTCTAAATTGTTCAATTTCCGCGACAGTCTTGATGGTATCTCTTTAAGGCTGTCAGAGGAGCCAATGCAATGTCAATTCAGCAGTGAAGTCATGGTTACAAAAGTGCATTTAGTGAAAAGTGACAATGTGGGAAGCCTTACTTGTTCTCTCGCTATTATTTCCGTATTCAATTTGCAAGACAAAAGATGAGTGCCTCTCCACCCACCCCATACCTCTGAGAGCAGGCTGTGCTTCTTCTATTTATTCCTAGGCATCCTTGGGGTTGACCTCAAATCACAACAGAGTCCTTGAATTTGTGTGCTTGGAAGGGCTTTAGAGATTTTCTAGCCCAGCTGCAGAAGAGAATCTGTGCATCCAAAAGATAAAACTGTTAAAAATGAATTTTTATTAACCAGGTATTTGAAAAAAAAACTTGCTTTGCTATTCTAAGACTAAAAGGGATCTAAATCGAAAGGAAAAGTCTGGGAAGGGGAGGGTTGGATCAGGATAGGTGTCAGACATACTGCCCCACTGATGGGCCATGATAAACACCTCTGCTTTCTACTCCTCAGTGGGATGATTCTTAGGTGTGTTCTCTATAGTGCCGGAAACCCCCAGTGAAACGACCCTCTTGCAGTCATAGCAGGAACTTGTTCATTAGGTCACCTTGGCTTGCCTTTCTTCTTTCCCTGACCCTTTTCCCACTCACTTAGACTGTTTCCTGAAATCATCTCCTAAATAAACTACTTACTCCCAACTTCTTTTCTCAAGGTCCACTCTTTATAATAGAGAAGTGATTACATCAAAAAGGCGTTATTCTGGGAGGAGTGGTTCTCTCCCAGGAGTAATTTTTGCCTCTCAAAAGACATCTGGCAAAACCTGGAGATATTCCTGCTGTCACAGTTGGAGTAGCATGTGTGTGGTGGGGGGCAGGCTAAATATCCCACAATACACAGGACGGTCTCGCAACAAAGAATCATCAGATCCCGCTCCACATGTCTCGTTCCATCAGCCCAACTCATTACCTTCAGGAGCATGTAAAGGTGAACCTTTGGAGGATACGCTCCTCAGAGAAGCCACCCAGACCGCCTGAGCTCCTCCTCTGCTGTAATAACAGAGGAGTTATTTTCTGGGGTGCTACGTGGTGTCACCCCTGCAATTACGAATGAGAAAAAGTGGTGATGGTGAGGGGTCGAGGCACCCAGCGAGGCAGCGTGGAGCAAGATGGGCATCAAAAGGCCAAAAGCGGGGCGCTAATGATGACTCAGTCATCATGTCTGGGCAGGCAACTGAAGCGCGACTGAACAAGTGCATTCAGAACATGTACTGCGTGTTAAAATCATGACATTAATTGCATTATTTTTAACTAAACTCACTGAAGCTCCTAAAGTAGTGTTCAATGTATCTAAATAAGTCGCAGTCATTCTAGGGAAACGTGACCTTGTAAGGTGTCCTCATGTTACAGACGAAGACACCGAAGTTCAGACTCCTTAGCAGTACTTCATTATGCAGCTATCTGGGAGCTGCCTTCCACCTGGAACACAGATAGCTGAGTGCTCCTTCCATTAAGCTTTCACCCAGGGGCAGAGGGGAGCATATGGGAGAGCCCAGTGTTCTTTCACTGGGTGGATTATATAAGCCCAGCAGATGGCTAACACTGAAGCCAGCCGTTTCTCAAAATTCCTAAATCCTAAGAAGCATCAGTTCATGATACTGAATTGTGCTTCTCTGTACCTTCCAAAAAGTATTTCTAACACACACTCAGGTACACACACACACCCTTGCTCACATACTCTTTAGTTTGCATCATGGAAAGCGATATAGGAAATTTTTAAAAACTAAATCCTCCACATGAAGATAAACAGAGAAAAGTGAAATTGAGACTCCTGAGGGATTTGGTCTGATTCCTTACCGCAGTGTTACGTACAGGTACACAGAAAAAACAGCCAGCAACTACACAATTTTATACCTGAGAAAGATCCCAACTATCCCCTCATTCAATGAACTTATTTTACAGATGAGGGAAACAAGACAAAGCAAAAACATGTGCAAGACCAGAAAGTTTCTTGCTCATTCCTATAAAACATTTTTCTGAAGCCAATTTCTAATACAGTTCCCTTTATAGGAAGATTAAATGAGATGTGTTCATTAAGAGCTTGCTGGGCTGGGGATTTAGCTCAGCGGTTCTGCTGCCTGCCTTGCAAGCACTAGGACCTAAGTGCAATCCCTGGTACCAAAAAAAAAAAAGAGCTTGTCATATAATAGGAGTCCACTGAATGTTACAATGATAGACGAATTCACTCTGGGTCTTTTTGTAATTACCCTGCTTTTTTTTTTTTCTTTGTCCTGGGGATCGAACTTGGGACCTTGTGCAGAACCACTCAGCTAAATCCCCAGCCCTAGCCTGCTACCCTCAGAGTATAGTCAAGACCTTGATTGTTGCTGGCTAACTTGGGGAAGAAAAGGAAAAACAACATAAACAGGCTCTGTTCTGAACATTGATGAACCATGGGCATTTCTTAAGATTTAAATTAAAATGTGGGTACAGCATTATAACTGAGTTTATGGTGATGGCTTATCTTTGATAAGGTAGAGTCCTTTGTTACTGTTAAAAGGGAAAAGTTTTACATATTTTGATATAAAAGTGAAGTTTAAAGGAAGTGTTTATTCATTCTAATATATAGGATATCCAAAAGTACTCTAATAATCTTTCAGAAATCATCAGGTCAAACAGACAAACAAAACCCTTGATATATCTGTATCACTGCATTGCTAGCAGTTCAGAAAAGTGAGTGCATTATTTCATATAATTCTAAATGGGGTGTATGGGTGGTTCTTCTCGTGGTCTTAACCTGGGCTCACTTACGGAAGATCAGGTAGGGACTAGACCTGGTGGGGATAGCTAGGCTGACAGGTCTCTCTTTCCATGTGGTCTTTCATCTGGGATTCTTCGAGACATACCGGCCACAGGGAACTGTTCTATATGAGCAAAGGCAGAAGCTGCCCAGCCTCTTGCGGTGTAGACTGTAGAATGCACAAATCACTCCCACAACATTCCACCAGGCAAAACAAGTCACAGGGCCAGCCCAACTTTAAGAGGGTATGAATTTCACCTCTTAAATAAGGGAAGCAGCAAAGCTCTACTACACAGATCCATGTGTCCAGTTATTAGATAACTTCGTCTTCATGACACTCTCTACCTGAATATATCTACAACTTGTCTCATGTACATTTTCTTGGAATGAAATTTCCCTATATTACACTTGTACTTCACGGATCTTCCAGTCATTTCATGAAATACAAATAACTTATTCATGGAGCCAATGACTGCTGGATACTTATACAGTAAGCCAGTGAACAAAGAGCTTGTGCCCAGGGTAAGTTAGACACTCAGAATTAGGGACACATTCAGATAGAGCCATTTTCCAAGGAAGAAGCTAACAAGAACACAAACACCATGATTAGGGCCATTCTTTTTCCCTAAAATAATCTAAATGTAGCACTTTGAGCTGTTTTACTTACAGTTATTTCCATCCTGGCATGTGGCAGCCATGGGAACATACCACTCAGATTTCCCATAAGAGGGAATCCATGGGGTGCAGGCAGTTAGCTAATCGCCTCCACCTGCCCCTTGCCTGCATCTGATTAATATTCTCCCTGACGCCAGGGTCTCAGGCTGCCCCCCACAGTGACTGTGTGAGGTGGAAGTCTGAGAACTACCACATTTCTGTTCTGGAGTTCCACATGGACCTGGCTGAAATTTTCTTGGAGCTGTACTTTAAGAAATCCCTTTCTTCTCTCAAGGTCAGAAAAATATTAATCTAAAGTTTTGCATTCACAATTAAAGATTTAAATTCATCCGGAGTTGTTTTGGAGTACGGCATGAGGCAGGAATCCAGTTTCGCTTTTATCCACGTGGATAAGCACGTTTTCGGTTCCACGTATCACAGAATCCTCCTGTCCTGTCAACCACCCTTTCATACATCAAAGTTCCAGAGGTCACAGAGGTCCATTCTGAAGCTCTCTACTATACTCCATCGGTTAGATTATTTACGGTTGTGCCCGGACCACAACGACTTCATTGTAATAGCTTCCCAATAAAATCAAGTAATCTGCAAGGTAGTTCTCTCCTTCCCCTACCCCCGTCTCCTTCTCCTTCTCAGATGACTTCGCTGGTTCTGTTCCTTTACTCTTTTTTTTTCCTCATTGAGTTTATTGGTACATTTTAGGTCTGCAGTACAGTTACATTCATCATTGGGATCCTGTACCTTTACATGACAGGTCTTGGTTCTCATTTTTCCCCCTTGTCCCTGCCCTCCCTTCACCCCTCTTCTCCTCCCCCTTTACAAACACTTCATTTCCATTTTTTTCATTTTCTCATATTTTTTTCTTCTCCCTTACTAGCTTTCCCCTCCCCTTCCCACCTTCCCTACACCTTTAGCCCCTTTCTTCCTATTTCACATTGTCCATTAAGTGAAATAAATAAGTCACACATGTGTAAATACTGAATAGTTTCTCTGGTGTGAATAAACTATAATAGTACATAAGATCCTAATGTTCCTTTACTCTTTCACATAAATTTTAGAATCAGCTTTTAATTTATACTCTCTCTCTCTCCCTTTCTCTATCTCCCCCCTACTCCTCCCCATTATCACGGGATTAAATGACTGGTTGCCCATTGTTTTGTGTCTAAGATATAGGGGAATCAGTGACTATTTATGTATAGATCCTCAACTAATTTGTTTTCAGTCTCCTTTCTTACCCCCAGATCTTCTGATTTTCAGTCTCAAAACTAATTCATTGCAAAGATCAATTTTCTTCTTGCTAAGCCTTAAGAGATAATTTTCATTTTCTCATTTATACTGTATCTCCACATTTTTCCTATGATGAATATTCATTCTTCTTATTAAAATGAAATCAACAAACAAAATGGTTATCTCTTTCCCTTGGTACCATCCCCAAGTCCAGCAGTCAACTTTCTTCATAATTTATCAAAGTTGTGGGAGAAAATGTTCTTATCCTCCAGGTCAAGTGGGAAGACAGGACAAGGTGCTGGGAAGGTCACTACACGTGCAGCCAGCTCCCCAGTGTGTAGGCCTAGCCCTGCCACTCCCTGGTAGAAAATAGTGTCCTGGGACAACCATCTCTCTCATCCTCAAGCTTCTTCCATGAAGTCAGGAAATTGGACTAAATGCTATCTGAGGCCATACTGGCTGTAGCACCTGACATGATTCTAAATTCCAGTCTTCTCCACCACTTGACAAGGCAAGGGAAATGATATAATGATAATAATGTTAAGCATCAAAGGCCTCCTTTGCATTAGCATCATGTTAAGCACTTTAGATGTATCATTATTGCATCTGCTGC